TTACTCGCAAATAGGTGATAAAATATGAACATTCATGATAAAATAATGGAAAGGTTAATGGTGACCGGGCAGGAATATGGTTTGGGGATTGGTGGGTGTAAAGGGTTGTGTCCTGCGGCCAACAGGGCATAGCTCGGTTACACTTTTTCCCTATCTGTGTCGATTAAGGACCAGTCGTTGCATATGACTCTAGGCAAGTCATAGATTATTGTCCCGAGCATATACTTGGGTATGGGCGCAGGGAAGGCCTATTGCTCTCTTGTCGCGGATCCGACTCTTTCCGGACCGACTGATGGGAAGAGGAGGTGGTGGAGGTCCTTGCACCACACTGAGTCCGGGACTCAGGATGTGGGGGCTTGGAGTCCAATTTTGGATGGGGACCTGGACACCCGGGACAGGAGGGTGATGGGTTAGTCCTGCTTGTGCCTGGGGTACAAGCAGGGCATGTGTTTCGGGGCGCCCAGCTGGTCACATTGATTCACGAATCGTCGGGGGATCCGGTATGGCTTGTCTGCGGTTTAGCACCGTAGTAAGAACTGAAAGTGGAGAAAGAAGAAGAAATATAACTGATTGCTCAACCCTTGCTTGAAAGTAGACAGGTGCTTATATAGACTGGCTAGGTGATAACTTCATACGGTTGATAATAATAATACATAAATAAGGACTCACTATTAGTATTGCTTTCTGCTAAAAAACCAGCAAACCATAAAGCCTATCATATCCCTTGGAGTCAGGAAATTATTCTCACTAGTCAGGTAAGTCTTGTGAGTACATTGTGTACTCAGGGTTTATTTACCCCTGTTGCAGGTGATGCTTGAGGAGTACCTTGTGTGGAGGATCTTTCTGGTGGACTCAGACGGAATCCTCGCTACTTTATCGCTAGATGTTATCTTTTTAATATTCTGTTGTTTATCATTCCGCACTCTGTATTTGGTATTGTAATAAGATACTTTTTAAGAAACTCTAAGGTTTGAAATGGACTTGTGTTGTAACTCTTTCTCATTATTGGATCCTTGGGAAAAATGTGGATCTTTCGGGTTCTCCCTCGGGGTGTGCCCGACGGACACCGCTCGCTGTAGTTGCTTTCGAGGTGCTTAGTGTCTGGTGGAAGACGAGCGCCTCCGTAAGTACGCTATTTCGGGCGGTTCTGCCACACATGTTGAGTACCGTCCATGGTTCATCGATCGCCCATCACCCTTAGGCCCAAACATTCCTAAAGACGTTAGGGTAGTCAAATCCATTAGTTAATTGTTGAATAGTGCAAAAATTACTAATAGATTAGTGTAGACTTAATAGGTAGTCTTACATGTTTCACGATGTATCTTTCTCTCACAACATGACATTAAGGACTCCTTGCTACCGTCTCTCATCCATATGTATCAACTACCTAGTGCTAGCTCATATTGCTGGAAACATCGTAACCCAACACCACACTAGCGTTGCTAAAGAGGGCGTTTGGTGGAGCTTCAGCTTCTCCAACTACTCCCATAGCCGCTCAAACCTCTGTTCTACCAAATATGGACAAAGCCGCTCAAACCTCTGTTCTACCAAATATGGACAGCTCTGCCCGGCTCCACGCGTGAAGCCACATAAAATGCTTCTCATTGGAGCTGGGTGAATGGTGAAGTGAAAAAATAGTTTCCAGCCGCTCCTTGTCGAGACACACGCGGGGTGGACGTCGATGCCCCTATCCATCGGCTTCTCCCTGGTTCCTACGGGCTATGGCATGGCGTGAGTGACAAATAAGGCACAACGATTTTGGCGAGAAGGCGCGACGGGTTGTCTAGCAATAAAAAGTGAGTGTGCACACGCCCTCTATTTTTCTCACGAGATGGTACGTTGGTACATTTACTCTTTTTCGCTCTTTCCTACTTCCTCACTCTGACCTGAACTCAAGCACACCCGCAATAGTGGGTGTGTTTTGCTGTTATATGTACTATGGTCGCAAACAAAGCTCTGATCTCTGATGGCTGGAGCATGTTGAGTACCGTCCATGGTTCATCGACATTGGCATTGCTGTCGCTGCCTTGCTGCCCTATAGCCGGTTCGATCGCCCATCACCCTAAGGCCCAAACATTCCTAAAGATGTTAGGGTAGTCAAATCCATTAGTTAATTGTTGAATAGTGCAAAAATTACTAATAGATTAGTGTAGACTTAATAGGTAGTCTTACATGTTTCACGATGTATCTTTCTCTCACAACATGACATTCAGGACTCCTTGCTACCGTCTCTCATCCATATGTATCAACTACCTAGTGCTAGCTCATATTGTTGGAAACATCGTAACCCAACACCACACTAGCGTTGCTAAAGAGGGCGTTTGGTGGAGCTTCAGCTTCTCCAACTGCTCCCATAGCCGCTCAAACCTCTGTTCTACCAAATATGGACAAAGCCGCTCAAACCTCTGTTCTACCAAATATGGACAGCTCCGCCCGGCTCCACGCGTGAAGCCACATAAAATGCTTCTCATTGGAGCTGGGTGAATGGTGAAGTGAGAAAATAGCTTCCAGCCGCTCCTTGTCGAGACACACGCGGGGTGGACGTCGATGCCCCTATCCACCGGCTTCTCCCTGGTTCCTACGGGCTATGACATGGCGTGAGTGACAAATAAGGCACAACGATTTTAGCGAGAAGGCGCGGCGGAGAACACACAATGGGATGGCAAGGCGGCAACGGCGAGATAGCGTGGGGGTGCAGCAGAGGCGGCAAAATGGCACTGTGGAAGGGTGCAACAGAGGTGAGACAAGCATGAGGCGGCACACGTGCGGTGAAGGTGTGAAGACGTGACAAGGTGAAAATAAAATATAAATAAGAGTGGAAAAATGAAAGGATGAAAAATAAAAAGAATAAAAAGTATTATGAATATTCTATTCTTTTTTACAACCAGAAAAAACTGTTTTACCGAAAGTTTTTCTAACTCTAAAACTACTAGACAGAGCTGTTTCACGAGGGTTTTGACCAGGGGCTCTTAACCTCAAGCTCACCAGTACACGTCCATACGCCCTGTCCACCTGAACTCTTTTTCTTTTCTTTTCTTTTTTTTACAACAAGTCCACACGAACGTTGATAAGGCCAAAATCGCAGTCGCGGTCCACTAGGCCCCATCAACGTCAGCCGAATCCTCCAGAAACCGTGTGCCCCCCGAAGCAGTTTAAATACCTCCTCCCAACCTTCCCTGCCGAATCGCAGTCAGTGCTCTGAAGTCCGAACCCCTTCATACACACCGTCTCGTCTCCGATTTCCCCCAAATTCAGGCCGCAGGCGCTACAGGATCCAGGCACCACTCGATCGGGGGCTGCCGCGTCGTCCCGCCCGCTCGATTGGGGTCGCGTGTGCGATAGGAAGTTCGTCATACGCCTCGCGGTTTTTCTAGTCTCTGTTTTGATTTCTATGCGCCCAATGTTTTGTCCGATTGATCGATCTGCTTAGGTACGCGAGATTGTTTCGATTGCTCGTGAGTGCGCGTGGATGATGATCGCTCGATAATGTCTGATTGTTTAGATCTGTGACTAGTTGCTCGACTTGATTGTGCTGACTGATTGTTTCATCTGTCGTGTAATCTGTATTCAATGTCTATCTAAGCCCTTAATTGCTTTGAAACCACTGCATGTGCTTGATTAATTTGGTTTGTTACCGACATCTTTTGGTGCCTATTTGTGATGAGGAACATTCTGCTGCTTGTGTTTAATCCTCTAGGTTCGTGTTCTCGATGTATGCATGATTAATGGTTGGCTAGTACTTCTCTGATGCGTGGGGATGATGGTTCCGAGATGCCTATCAGTGATTAATTTATATGTGTGCACGATGATGGACTAGAATTTAACATTCCCTGCACGAAAGTAGCCTCCTTATAGCACCTTATGCACTGCCGAAAGCAGCACACTCTGGTAACCAGTATTGCTGCATATATTTTCCGCCAAAAAAATATTTGCTGCATATGCATACCACACTTGTTTTGCTTTTTCATCTCTCCTTGTGGCACAACACTACATCGATTGACTTCCACTGTTGGCCGGCCTTTGCATATTGCATATATCATCAGTGAGCAGAAATATAGCTGTTCTTTGGCTGAATTAAAGAGAAGTTCACTCAGTTTTAGCAACGTAATGGGGGAACATATCATCTTCTAGATGAATTCGGGAAGGAGCAGTTTGTGGACTACTGGCAGGCTATTGATTTCTGTATACCTTGGAAAGAATTGGGAAGGGCATTTTTCTTGTACAGGTTGTGTAATCATTGGTGATATGAGATGATCTCTATTCGCTTGGGAAGTAGAGATAGGTTAAATTTCAGGTCTGGACGGTGAAACCTTAAATAAAATCTTAGTGTGAAAGAAGCATGCTGGTTTCCTCGAAGGTATATCTGATCGAAGAATCAATGGATTGAAAATCTCTTATGGATAGACCTTATTAACTAAAGACTAAAGATTTTGAAGATGAAGCTGATGTCTGCTGGAGGTAGGCTTCCTTGAAATCTAACGTCTTAATAACCTTTAAGAGCATAACAACGTGCATGAGTGGTACATGCTAACACGTCGAAACCTTGTCACGAAAGAATCATGTTTCTTTCTTTCTTCCATTTCCTGGCATTTGATGCTATGGTGTGTTCCTCTTGCCAGAGAATGGTGTGGACAACGCGGTAATTTTGGTGCAGATGGATGCTGTGTTCAAATTTATTGGAGTTCTCTGGATGGATACCTATCGAGTAGTATAATTCCTCTCTCAGCTCACTGTCCAGATAACTAGTGCTATCTGTGACTGTTGGGTAATCAAGTTATCGAGATTTTGCTGGTTGGAGCTGTCCGGCATTGCTTTCATCTTTTGTCAATATGCCCAGTCTTCGGCAGCATATGGCGTTCCAGAACTGTGCGCAGTGGTTTCCTCGAATTTAGGACCTTCGACTGCATTCTGTATTGAGAACAATCCTGCTAAATACATGATACTTGCAGGTATTGTGTTGTTTGCAACGTGATAGCTTGTACCGGTAAAAAAAGGTCAAGATGGGCGCCTTGGACCTACACCTTGAGTTTGCTTCTGCTCAACATGGACAAGCCAAGCTAAATGTGGAGGAATATGCCAAGGGCTCTTTGCTGTCTGATGGAAACTACAATACAGAGAAGATCAATGGTTCAAACCCTGATGACTATGAGAAAGGGATAATGCAGCATGGGTATGTGTTTCACTTCTCTTTTGGTGCCTTATGCATTTGGCATCTGCTTAGAGCATTTACTTACTTAATAAACTCCATGCTATCAATTAACACATTTGAATGGCAGGTGTCCACATTATAGAAGGAGATGCCGCATAAGAGCTCCTTGCTGCAATGAAATTTTGATTGCCGACACTGCCACAATGAAACCAAGGTACTGATTTTAGAGTTTTCATTGCAGGAGAGAAATTTTTAGAATACTTAGTTGTGACATCTTGCGTCCAGTTTTTCTCTTTGTTTCATTGAGGTGCCAGTAATCATTTTTCTTCGTGAGATTTAAATTGATGCCATTTGTAATGATGTGTAATATTAGCAATAGTGAAAATTCTGAAAACAAATTGTCATACATTGGTAAATTTTTATTATGATAGTAGGTAGCATAGCTCTTGGTTTCTGCTCTAGATACTGTTGGTACTTTTGTAGACTAGTAGTTTGATGCTGCTAAAATTTCATCCACACCTGTCAGAACCTGTAACTCTGTCCAAAATCTATAGTACGCTATCTTATTTGACATGTTTTGTTTATATATTGCATATGTTGTCTTCCCTGGAAGATCTTTACGTTCTATTGTATGCATGAGTGTGCCCATTATTATTTTTGAACTTATGGGCTATCTTAAATATTGAAAATTTATAATGTATATACTTCTATTAACAGAATTCCATTAAAACTGGTAAAATGAAGAGGCATGAACTTCCACGCCATGAAGTGCAGCAGGTAAGTTTGGCCCCTAGGCCTACTGCCCTTTTACTTGCGTGCTACTTTTGCATTCAACTTAGTTGATGTCTTCATTTTTATCTGTCATCAGGTTGTATGCTCATTGTGTGGCACTGAACAGGAGGTGCGTGACTGAACCTTTACTAATAATACTTTGCCAAACGCTATATGTGTTTCACCTATATCATCATGTTTCCTTGTCTGCTGGCAGGTACGGCAAGTATGCATCAATTGCGGTGTTTGCATGGGGAAGTACTTCTGTGGATTGTGCAAACTCTTTGACGATGATGTTAGTAACAGAAAGCTTGATATTGTATCTCCTGTGTTTGCTTTTTGTAAGCGTTGGAGTATGCCTTGCTAAAGGTTCTTTTTGTGATTTTAGGTCTCTAAACAGCAGTATCACTGCAACGGATGTGGAATATGTAGAATCGGAGGGCGGGAGAATTTCTTCCACTGTTCAAAATGTGGTAATGCTTCATGCCTTTTGTGTCTTACATTTCATTTTTAAGGCAATAAAGCTAGTGTATATACTGCCATTTTATGATGCTTATATATTTGATGATTCTCTGTACTTGTTTGGACTAAGTGTTCCTTTGCATGCATTTGCCATTAATCCTATGATGAGACATGCATGTTTGTGCGTATGTAAGGCTATATGAATATGGCTTTTCAGTTCAGTTTGCATTCTTCATAGTTTGTAGATTACTAGCTGAACAATGCTGTAGAATAATTTGGAAAATAGAAGGTACACATCCTAAATTGCAGGGTGGACCTAGGCCGGCCAAATGACTAGGGCCACTACATGAGAATCATGTACTGGATGTATTGCGCTACAGTAAAACATAGGATGAGGTGCATTGTAAATATGGCCCAAGACTGGTCCATGAACTTAGTGGCCCTTGTGGCAGGTCTGTCACTGCTAAAATTTACTTGGCTAACTGTCAAACAGGGCTGCATTTTACTATTTGTTACTTATTCCTAACCCTTATATTGTTTTTTTTGAACATCTAACCCTTATATTATTATGTAGTTCTGCATTGTTCTAATTTATATAGACAATTTTGGGCAAATGCTATAACTCATCTCTGTCTATCTGTTTCATGTAGGATGTTGCTATTCAATTGCGCTGAAGAATAGTCATGCATGTGTTGAAGGGGCGATGCATCATGACTGTCCAATCTGCTTTGAGGTTGCTGCTCTGTTATTTTTTATATTCAAGATATTGCTGGTCTGATCATGTTTTCGTTTAATTGTTTACAGTCTGTTCTCATATTTTCCTGCTGACCTGTTTCGTGAATTCCAGTACTTGTTCGAGTCGACAAATGATGTTTCTGTCCTGCCTTGTGGTCATACCATTCATGTAAAGTGCCTGAAAGAAATGGAGGAGCACTACCAGTAAGCTAGTTCTGCCTGTCCCTTTAGTGTGCCTTAATTACCGGTGACTAGGTTTTGATGGCTAATAAATCTCCAGGTTCGCATGCCCCCTTTGCTCCAAGTCGGTTTGTGACATGTCGAAGGCATGGGAGAGACTCGACATGGAGCTGGCAACTCTGTCCGACTCCTGTGATGATAAAATGGTAATTTTCTTTTCTGAGAACTGAAGCTGAAAAGAAAGTAGTTAGTTCCAGTCTAGTAAATATGTGTTTGGTGTGGCCATTAACTATGTTCCCTCCTACTGCAATACTGATGGTGTGCTAAATATAGTTTGAACTAGAGAGGCAATCTGTTTTGAACACTGCTAACTGGATTTTATTCCCATGTAGGTCCGCATATTATGCAACGACTGCGGGGCAATATCAGAGGTGCAGTTCCATTTGATTGCGCACAAGTGCCAGAATTGCAAGTCATACAACACCCGCCAGATCTGAAGTAAGAATTGCAGTCACACAACACCGTCAGATCTGAAGTAGCAAATCCATGTGGGGTTTCTGCATTCTTCAAGAAGCGTGATGGCTCCTTCCCCTGCTTTGAGCTGTTGAGCACGGGGATATCTGGCAAGACTCCACTGGGTCCTGCGGAGGCAAACAGCTCGAGATTATTTGTCTGCTGCTAGCTGCCGTCCTTCATTATGCATCTTAGCCTCCTAGGTCCTCTCGCCCCTTTACTCCTGTCGCTCTGTGATTCTAGTGTGATAATGTTATATTTCCTGTTGCTTCAAGATTGTAGCGTCGGAGTTCGTAGATGAGATAATTGTTCAAGCTTTGTAGCTGGAATTGCATAATTGTGATTCATTAAGGTGCCTTTGTTGAGCAAGGAAGAGAGGTCTTGGTTGCGGGTAGCTACTAGCTACTAGCTAGGCAAGCGTGGTAGATGTGCACCTGTGGTTGTACGGCAAATCCGGATCTCCCATTTTCCATGTTTTATAGTGTTCTTGTGTTCCCAAGTTGTGTTTTACTCCCTCCGGCCCAATAAAAGTTCCAGTATAGAAGGTGCAACTATTATTATTTTTTGTTTAGTCTCACATATGAAGTGTTTTCTCTTGGTTGAATTAATACTCATGGAAGTAATTAGATGCATGCAAGCAAATGGAACCTAAGAGTATCCCTAACAGTCCTCCAATACTCTCCTATCCCGATAAAATTGCTATATTAGGCTCCATTACTCTTCTATCCCGATAAAACTGTTATATTAGGATCACTGTGTTTTCTTTTCTCCAACAATCTCCTAAAACCTCTTTTTGTGGCCACTAATATTTTATTCTCATCATCTCAAATCTTCTCTAAAATAAAGGGAGAGTTGCATCTCCTAATAGTCAAAAATTCCTATCCATTTGGATTATTGATTTGTTTTGGTTATACTCCCTAGTCAAAAAGAAATGTAATTATATAATAGTGCTAGGTTAAATTCATATGTAAAGTTACTAATATTTATATATTTTTATAGTACATCTATTTGAAGTCCTATATATTTATATTGCTTATAAAATTACTCAAAATTGAGATAGCTTGAATTTGATGAGGCTTAGAATTGTAACTCTAGGTACTAATAAGGTACATAGTACTCCTTGTGTCTATAAAAGAGTGCAATTGAGGTTTATGCAAGTTAAACTAAATTAAGTTTGACTATGTTTAAAGTGAATAGTGTTAATATCTATGTCTACAATTAGATTTTATTATGAATTTTTTTTATAACTAATTTAATGGTATGTATCTTATATCATAAATTTTAGTACTTTTTTTTAAAACCTTGATCAAACTTTAAGTCATTTGACCCTTTAAAAGTGAAAATTGCATCCTTCTGTGGACTAGATGGAGCATGTACCGTTTTTTCAAAACTCCTGCTGTCCTGCAGCGGCTTGGAGTAGCACAGCCGAGTAACACATCTCCGGGTGTGCAGCTCTGATGGCCGCAGCGTTTGATGGCGTACGATCGCGTGTGAGCTCACTTTTGACTTCGGAAGTCTGAACCTTCTTTCCTGAATCATCATCCATCAAGGAACGAACGGATCAGATAGCCCCCAAGCGTTTCACGATTTCAAACGAAGGCAGTTACTCCATCCAGCCTAAAAAAAGATATGAGTCTAGGTTTAAACTTTTATTAGATTTGTAAAAAAAAAATATTTATGATTTCAAATAGATACACTAATGATTATATCTATATACTCTTATGAAGCTAAACCCCATTAGATGATTTTTCTCTTCATGCAAGGTGTCCACATCATTCACCCTACTAGATGTTCTATATCTTTATGCAAGGTGTCCACATCATTCCCAACTGAGTCCATATCATCCCTTATTAATTACAAAAACTATCAACGTCATCTCTATCATATGCAATCATCTCTATCATATGCAATACTTTGAATCTTTAATCTATTAACATACAAGTCATCTACGTACGATAATTGTTTCATCACCTATTCCTCTATAATGTAACCAAATATTCTATTGGTTTTTCTTCTATTAGCTTACCGATTTTTACCAAATCTGATAAATAAAATAACATTCAAGTCAAATTCATATATATACATAATATACAGAATATCATATAGCAATGCTATGTATATAATAGATTTATTTTTAAGAAATTTCCGCGGCAACATGGCAGCGTATGCTTCTAGTTTAATATGATACCCCTACGTCCCCAAAAACGCTAATATAGACAAACTCATACCTAGAATTGTTTTTTTTTTGGAAAGGAGGGAATAAGTATTAATATATTTTTATTTAGTTAGATTTAAAAGTCTTGGACTTAATACTATTCTAAACTACCACCGTCGACGAAGAATACAATTCTGGGTGCATTTTTTGTTAACTTGTCTAAAGCTTGATTAAATACATAGATAAAAAATATTAATGTTCATGACACCAAATAAGTATAGTATGAAAACCTATCTCATAAAAAATCTAATGATACTTATTTCATATTAAAAAATATTGTTTTTTTTGTTTATGGTTAGTCAAACTGAAGATAATTTAATTTAATACTATGCTAGAATTATATTCTTTTATGGACGAATGGAGTATCTTGATACTCGTTCCGTCCAAAGAGATATAATTTTTACTTTCAGAGGAATCAAACAATTTAAACTTTAACCCAAGTTAGTAAAAAAGTATTACCATTTGTGATACAAAATAAGTACTATTATCGAATTAATTATAGAATATATTTTTTATAGTACCCTTATTTGAAAACATAAATGTTAGTGCTATTTATTATAAACTTTGTTCAAATTTAGTAAATTAGTGAATCTCATCTCATAGTTTGCAGTTTGCACAAATATCATAGGCCATGTTCGTTTGTCTTATAATCCGTACTTTTCAGTTTGTTTTTTCTGTCGGAACAGTGTTTTTCTCTCACAACGAATCAGTCGGAACAGTGTTTCGGCTTATTTTTTCAGCGAAGCGAACGTAGTTTTTTTTTTACAAGCACAAATATCATAGTTGGACGGAGGGAGTATCTCGGAAAGATTAAAAAAAAGGCACTACATGAATGATGGATCTTTCTTGGAATGGATGTCGCCGGCGGCCGGAGTGCCAGAGCTGTCAGTGTCTTCCGAAAGGTACGTGCTGTGCCATAGTGCGATCTGCAACGCAAAGACGCCGCAAGTTCCATCGGCCATCACTGCCTAGTACGAGTACTACTCCGTACCAGTTGCCAGCATTGGATTCCATGCCATAGATCGTAGGAGTACAGTAGGGCCCATAGACGCGCGGCCTGGCAGGCATACGGTACGCTGATCCGGCCGGGCCGAGCGAGGAGCCCGGGCCGGCAACGGCAGCGGCAGGCCTACCCGCCTGCCGTCGTCCTCTGTGAAATTTTGCTGTTGACGGCTTTGGCGCGACAAGCCGCTGGACTGGACTCTAGAGCTCCATCAGCGAGTCTGCGGGACACTCGAGTCGTGTCACAGTGACCGTACTCCACTCCACTTCAACAACAGTTTCTCATCGGAGCCTAAATGTTTCTTTTACCTTTTTTTCAGCCCGCTCGGTCCGAAGTGTAGCCGGGAAAGGTGTCACGTGACGGCTGTGGTCGTTCCGCCCTGCGCGATGGGGCGGCACGACGCCGCACGTCCAGCTCGATAGTGTGAGGCCCTAGAGATTAGTGAGAGAGAAAGAACAAAAAGTGGATCAAGAAAAATCTCTAGTTTCTTTTTCTCTGACACTGATTTTCTCAGCCGAGAAAGAAGAGCATCTCCAAGAGTTGCCAAGAATTTTTTCGCAAAACCATAAAGTTTTTCAACTTGCCAAAAAATATTAGGAGAAAAAATAAGACTATTTCTAACAATTTTCAACAATTCACTCCTAAAATATAAAAAATAATTTTACATCAGAAATTTTATACTATTTCTAAATTATTCTAACCATTATATATTATTTATCATTTGCATTAGGAACCATTCTTTTTCCACACCTTTCCACATTAGATTAGGAGACCGATACGCGCAGAAGTTGAGCGCATATATCCGCGTTTTCGACGAATTTTTTATGTATGAAAAGATTGGGAGATGTGTCGATGTTTCGAGTTTTCACCGATGAGTAAATTTCTAGTATTGCGCGTCTGGCTCGGATGGTGTGCTTTAGAGGACACGAGGTTTATACTGGTTCAGGCAGAAAGTCCCTACGTTCAGTTCGTCGCTGCTACTCGTGTTATTAGCACTGAAAGTTTATAGTAGAGGTTACAAACGGGCGAGAGAGGGAAGTGATCCCAAGTCTCTGGTGGAAGGAGTGAACAGGTGCTAAGAGCTCGATCGTTGCTCAGCCGTGTGTTCATGTCGTGCTCTTGTGCGGATCTAGATCCGATCGGGTCTCGATGGGTCGATCACCTTTATGGGGTACCCTGCTTTTCTTTTTATAGGCCAAGGAAAAGCGCGGGTTGCAGCGAAGGAAAAGGAGAAGAACGAGAGAGAGGAAGGCTGCTAGGACCGTCGGATCCTTCTTCTCCTTCATGCAGGTCCCGCCGATCCTGTCGGCGTCAACAGGGACGGCTCCACGAGGCAGAGCCCGTGGCCTCGAGGTCAGGCGAGGCGGAGCCCACGGCCTTAGGGTCGGGCGAGGCAGAGCCCGCGCACCTAAGGGTTATTTGGAGTTGTAGTCGCGCTCTTGACTGCTCGGATGAATCATTGTTGACGACCATTAGCTCCTCCTCTTCGGGTACCCTAGTATTAGTCCCCGATAGTAGCCCCCGAGCGTAAGGAGGAGTAGAATACTCCTTCGAAGGCTTTTTCGAACGGGAGGACTCTAAGGGCCTTGGCCTTTTCTTGCTGCCCACGGTGTGTCCTGGGGACAGCAATTCCCTTTTATCGTGATCGGACCTCTCGGGGGTATAGCCATGAGATTTGGTGTGTCAGAAAAGGTCTTTCCTAATTCCGACCCCTATGGGGGTCTATCGTTCTGTGACCACGCGCTCGGTCTCCTTGCGAGTTCAAC